ATTACAGGAAGATTTTGGAAGAAAGTTTTTGTACTATAGTAATTAAAATGTGTATTTTAGAGAAGGATGGTCTTTTGAAAAAATTATTTAAAAAAACGGTAAGTCTGAAGATCCAAGCAGTTAAGGCTAAAGCTCAATATTCAGATTGTGCATCTAAATAGCTATTCAAGGATTTTTTTAGAGATGTGATTTTATAATCTTCAACAAACTATATTTAAAGGAAATTTGAAATTTAAAAGATCCTGTAGACATAGTCATTAGGAATGTAATAGTATAACTGTTTAAATGGTTACATGCAAGCTCCTGGTCCCACTCCCGGGGAGCCAGCTGCCATCCCCGCGCTGCTTGCTCTGTGTTAGAGCTCACAGCATGGGGTGGCAACTGGCTCCCTGGGAGTGGAGCTGGGAGCTGGTACTCACTGGAAGCTGGTTTAAAAAACAGCTCCTGACACGCACTGGCTCCCAGGGAAACAGCTGTCTTCCCCCTGCTGCTGTCTCTGTCTGAGAGAGGCAGCAGTGCAGGACAGCAGCTGGCTCCGTGGGAGCAGTGCTGCAGGCGAGGGCTGACGCATGCCAAGAGCCAGCTGCCACCTTGTGCTGCTGCTTTTGATACAGAGTAGAGGCAGCAGTGTGAGGTGGAAGCTGGTTTCCTGGGAACAGGTTGGTAGGCAGGGGTCGGTACATACTAGAAGCTGGCTTAAAAGCTGACTTCTGGTGTGCACCAGCTCCTGGGGAGCTAGCTGCCACCCGATACTGTGGGATCAGCAATATAACGCTTCTACAGCAGAGCCCGCATCTCAGCCAGCTCCTCGGAAACCCACAGTGAGATTTTCAGCAGTTACATGGTTGCCTAATTAACTACTTTTTAACATCCCTAATAGTAATCCACAACTGTTTTTGTCAGTAAATTCAGGCTTGGCACATGCCTGTTCAATGGTTTCCTTAGGACCTAATGGCTCTTTCACAGGTTCAATGTTATGCTAATAGGTCTGGCAAACTGCAAAGCATTTCACTTCTATGTTAACAGAACCACTTCAGAGGAAGAGTCTGCAAGCAGCAACAGCCTGCCATGGGAGCCTTCAGGAATGGTCAGAATAGGGATAGGAAGAGGGGACAGGTTGATCACTAAGATCCAGGGGAGGCATTACCTTCTCTTACCTCTTTTATGCTGGAAACTATTGGAACTGCCCTGTTACCAAACCATTCAGCTAGGCTGGCTTTCCATACTTCTTACCCAGTATGTCAGCAGGTGGTGCCACACATCCAGCTGAGTCGCTTGAGTGTTTTATTTTAGCAACTCATGGACAGACAGTGAAAAAACCTGCCAATTTCGCAGATTCTTAACCTTGCACCTCATTGGAATATAAATCCAAAATTGTACGGGAAATCTCCGCCTTACAAATGGATTGTGTCCAAAAATTTGTTTGTAAGTCAGTTGTTTTGAATGTGGAATGCATTTTCCCATAGAAACAAGGTTATTAATGGTATTTAGTTTCCCAGGCTAGCCCACAAAAGCCTATGTAATCCATAGTGTTGCTAAAATACTATATATTTGCAATGAAAAAATAGTAGAAACAGCTTTTTATTTAACCTTGAATGCTGGTGATTGAAGAAAGCCAAGTTTAATTGTAGAAGGAGGAGGTAGATGGAGCTTCTGAAGGGGATTTCTGGGCATCCTCTGGCTGCCCCATCCTGTGCTGGCTCCTGCAACCAGCCCCCACACACAACAGGATGCACTGAGCGATGTGAGGCTGGACTGGAGGACTCCAGAGGAACAGGAGATGGCTGTGCAACTGGCAGCTGGAGAAAAACGTCAGTTTCCTTTTAAAAGCACCACTTTCCTTCAGCTTCTAGATCCACGATTGCCCTTTGCTCCTTCCAGAATCCTTTGACCAGCACTTGTGCTGCTCACCCCCACCTGTTCCTCTTGCCTATTCCTCAGATGCCATGCATGGAATATGTAGCTTTGTAGGATATCCAAAAATTTGGTGCACCACTGGGTCTTAATGTCCATCCATTTCTGCCTATTCCTGTTTTGTGCCCCTTCTTCCTCCCGAGATCTAGTTAACTTAAAAGTTAAAAAGCCTGCCAGCCCTATTAGCAGAACATAGCACCCATGAAAGAATCATTCAAGTAGTAATGAAGTCATTTAACAGGCATTTGCCAATCCCTGATATATAATGTAGTTTCTGAATTTACTGTGTTAGTCTATAGGGCCTTAGTTTAAAATAGTTAATTAGTGTGTTTCTGAAGATTATAAAATTACATCTCTAAAAAAATCATCATCCCCTTCTCAGTCTGCTGCTGGGTATAAGGGTATCAGTTAAATAGTACTGCATAGGACTCCATAAATCCTAAGGACATCCCTGCCTGAGGCTGCAGGTGAGCTTTTGCTTGTATGTACTGATGTTCGTTCGTAAGTGAGATGTTTGTAACTCGGGGAGTTCCTGTACTGTCTTGCACAGAACATGAGTCTGTATGGTGCAGGATCAGTAAATTAGTCAGCCTTTTCATCTATGTAGTTGCATATCTTCCCCACATTTAGAGCTGAGATTCCCAGACATTTCACATAAAAGCACGCTAGTTAAGATAAAATTTAAAACAAAATTAATAATTACTATCATATAGATATTAAAGTGATAGCAAACAGATCAAAGCAGGTTATTTAGGAAATTAAACAAAATCAGAATCTGTGTTTTGCAAACTAGATAGCATTTGAATCAGTAATATCTTGTCCTCAGTGATGATACAAGCAGGCTTGCAGATTCTTGATGCACAAGTGACATCTGTTTTGCATCTTAGGTTTCCCGTCCCCATTTCAAGTTCTGTGTGTCCCTGAAGTTCTTTCAGGTGTTGAATGGCAGGGGACTGAAAACAAGTCATGATGTCATTCCCCACCTTATAAAAGTTTCTCCATGTGGCAGGAATACCTTTGTTCCAACTCAGGTTCCTAGCCCAGTTTGGGGGGGAAAATATAGGTACCAAAATAGGCATGTCATTGTGTAAATGACTACACAATTAACCAATAAGCCTGGGCTTATTGGTTAATTCTGTCAACTACATGCATTTCCCCCATCACAGGCAGCAAAGGGGGAAGGTGGGAGCCGGCTCTGATAGAGAGGCAGCAGCGGAGAGGGTGAGGGGGGACAGATAGGAATTGATATGTGCGGGGAGATGGCTTTTAAGCCTATAGATGCAGTAGCATGGGGGTGGGGGTTAGAGGAGGCTGCCACGAAGCCTCTGTCCGCGGCAGGCCCAGGCTCGCCATGGACAGAGGCTGCTCTATGGCAGCAGCCCCTGTCTGCAGGATATCCAAGTTCCCTGCAAACAGAGGATGCTCTGGCATTCCATGAGCAGCCTCTGTCCATGGGGAGCTTGGAGCCTGTGGATAGGGGCTGCTGCTGCCCTGTGCTGCTGCTTCTGTATTTGAGACAGCAGTGTGGGGCAGCAGGTAGGAGCCAGTCTGCTCATGGAGCCCATTTTTAAAATGGCTCCCCTCACGAACTACCTGCCACCCATACTGTTGCCCGTGATAGAGCGGCAGCAGTGCGGGCTGGCAAGGGGCTCCCGGGAGTGGGGCTGGGAGTGCACTGGCTGCTGGTCCCGTCTCTAAGGACTATCAAATAGTCGTGTAACCCCTAAACTTCGATTCAGTTTCATAACTGTGCAATTGCATGCTATCTAACATTCCTATACCAAAATGCAGTTTAGTATCGTATGGTCTGATCACATGCCCTTGAATACCTTTCTGAGTCATAGCAGCCATTGTTCTTAGGCCAGCTGAAGTGTCCCTAGATGAGGACAAGCCATTTCCATGGTCCATTTTCTTTGCTGATGGGCCATATTTCTTGACTAGACCATTCATGATGAGCTGAATAGCCTGAATGCAAACAAACCTTTTGGTGTTATCAAGGAGTAAATATATTTGAAATAAAAATACAGTCATTATTTAAGATACAAAAATGATACAGCAATACAAATAGGATAATCATATTCAGCAAATTATAGGCTTTTCGTATATACCTCACATGACACATTTTGTACAAGCTGTATTATAATACCACAGGGATGAATATTTGGCAGTATTCTATTATACATAAGTGTTTTTGAGGATTAGCTTCTGAAATCTCTCTTCTTTGTGGTAAAATCTGATATGATTAAGTTATCACCACTTTCCATTAGCATCAAACCACTTAAATATTTGTTGAACCTTTTCTCAGAACCTTTTCTCTCTCTCTCTCACACACACACACACACACACACACACACACTCTGTATTTGCACTGAGATTGGATTGACTCTGTGAAATATAACTTTTTTCATAAACCATACTTTAAATCGGATAGGACCCAAGGAGCTTTAGAGTCACTGTATCATACTAGGATTTCTTACAAACTTCTGCAGCCACTCTCATCAAATTCTGCTTATATTTTGTCTCAAACACTTTTTCCTCTCTTAGGCTTTGTTCACACAGAGATGACTGCACATTTGAAAGAAGATCAGTTGAAGAAAACTATTCCTCTTGGAAGATTTGGAGAGCCCCATGAAATTGCACAAGCTGTTGTCTTTCTCCTTGAGTCTCCCTATATTACAGGTCAGATTTTAGTTGTAGATGGAGGCTTGCAGCTTCTAATTTAAGTGCCACAACAGTATTTATACAATGACTTGAATGGAGGGGAAAAATAAACTTGGCCGATGAAGATTCTGAGGTGTGTAATCAAGATGATGCTTTCATGAGCTGGCACTTTTAAATCACAACAGTGAAATAATAATGTACACGTTAAATGGTAAACTCTAGAATGTATGTTTGTAATGTCATATGCACATTGGTCAGCTAACTGAAGCCTGCATATATTATACTAAATGAGGAAATGCATGGTGGGTGCATCATAGAACTTATTTTGATTTACTTCTCTGAGGAGGTGGAGAAATGATGATAGTAAATCAGACACTGAATCATAGAAGCATAGACCTGGAAGGGACCTTGAGAGGGCATTAAGTACAGTCCCCGGCTCTCACTGTGGGACCAAGCCCAAAGATCATCACTGATTGATGTTTATTTAACCTACTCTTAAGATATCCAAGTGATAGAGAGCCCACAATCTCCATAGGCAGCTTATTCCAGTGCTGAACCACCCTGACAAGAAGTTTTTCCTAATGTTCAACCTAAACCTCACTTGCTATAATATAAGCCCATTGCTTCTTGTCCCATCATCAGAGGTTAAGGAGAATAATTTTTCTCCTTGTAACAGGCTTTTAGGTTCTTAAAACTGTTATCATCTTCCTTCTCGGTCTTCTCTTTTCCAAACTAAACAACCCCCCTCTTCCAATTCTTTCAGTCTTCCCTCCTCATAGGTCATATTTTTTAGACCTTTAATAATTTGTGTTGCTCTTCTTTGGACCTTCTCCAGTTTCTCCACATCTATCTTGAAATGTGTTGCCCGGAACTGGACACAGTACTCCAACGGAGGCCTAATTAGTGCAGAGTAGAACAGAAGAATTACTACTTGTGTCTTGCTCAAAACACTTCTGTTAATGCATCCAAGAATCATGTTGCTTCTTTTGCAACTGTGTCACACTGTTGACTCATATTTAGCTTGTGCTCTCTCTATGCCATTATCTAAATAGTTGATGAAGATACTGAACAAAACCGGTCCCAAAACTGATCCCTTTGGGACCCCACTTGTTAACCCTTCCAGCATGACTGTGAACCATTAATAACTACTCTCTGAGAGTACGTCTAGACTACAGGCTTTTGTCCACAGAAGTTTTGTCGACAGATACTGTCGACAAACGTGTCAACAAAGAGCGTTTAGACTACATCCAGTTTTGTCGATATGACAGTGTAGACGCAAAGGACAGTGTAGATGCAATAACGCCTTCTGTCGACAAAAGGAGTTATTCTTCATAGAATGAGGTTTACAGCTGTCGACAAAACTGCTGAGTTCTGTCGACGTTATGTCGATAGAACTCAGCGGCAGTGTAGGCGCAGGTATAGTTTTGTTGACAAAAGTCCACTTTTGTCGACAAAACCCTGTAGTCTAGACACACTCTAAGAGTTATGCCCCCACCTTATAGTAGTCCCATCTAGGTTGTATTTCCCTAGTTTATTGATAAGAAAGTCATGCAAGATCATCTTATCAATAAACTAGGGAACTAATATGGGGGGGGGGGTTTGTGTGAAAGAATGAGAGCATCACTCTGAACATTCCTGTAGCACAAGAAGACTTAACATTTGAAAGCCTGATCATTGGTCAGTGGTTGTGGTTGCAGTTGCTTTAGTTGACCAAGTATTTCAGATGTTCCTTTTTCAGAAGAAATGGCATTTATGTGTAATGAAATGGTAAACTCCAGTATAGGGTGAAATTCCTTACCTTTTGTTTTTATTTTCCAAACAAATATTTTCCTAATAAGCTATATGTTTGCTTAGTGCTATCTCATACAGGTAATGGTTTCTTGTTTGTAGCTAAGGCAGTTGAATTAGAAGTTCTGTATCTCTCCAGCATAATTGAAGTGACATCGAGGGATTGAAATAATGTGCATTGAAAGATATTAATTGTGCGTAAAATACAAGTTTCAAAATTCTGTTCTCAAATATGTATTCAGGTCCTGTTGCAATCAGTAGCAGTTGTGAGTGCATGCACAATGATCACTTGAATCTGTACTGAAATTAGCACTATAGCTGCAACCTTTTCTGCATTTTATAAATTTTACAAGCCAGGATTTCTGATAGAAAACTGTAAATGTAATTATGTCCTATCAGTGACTGGGGAAAAAGTTTGATATTTAAAAACCAAATGTTTCCAAAATATGAAGTCACAGCATGTGGAACATAGATGCCTTTTTACCAGTCTGGCAGAAGTATCAGTAAATGGATGATCTGTAACTTTGTCCTTAGTATCTTATGAGCAAATAGGATTATGTAACACATGGTGACTGTCACCCCAACTCCCACTTTCTTCCTGTGACTAAACATAACTTGTTTTGTGTGATTCTTGTAGCCACAGATTATAGCCAGTTTTTAGTCTTCCCTCCCTACTGACTCATAAAAACAAAGTGCACTAGACTTTGAGTAGCTTTTGAAAGCATAGCACAATTGATATTTCATCAACCAAATCTTCAGGTAGAAATCATATACTGTACTTTTAAAAATAGCAGGTATTCCCTTGCCAGGAACTGCAGCAGGAGAGCAGTGGACAGACTTGCTTCCGCATTAGGGAAGAATATACAGTACAAGAAATGTTAGCCAGCTGATTGATAAATTATACAGTACGATAAAGTATATTCAATGAAGGGACTTCTTTTTTGCCATTTGAGGGCAGTGCAGCCAAAGATATAATCATATGGGAAACTGAATGATTTAGATTAAGACGTTTGTATAATTCCAGTAAGAGGTGACTGCTTAGATGAAAAGGCTGATACCCATAATGTTGACACCAGTATTCACAATTCCATGTAAAGTGTGTTCTCTTGGGATTTATGCTGGGATAATGAAAGAGGCTGAAGGAAATTAGGCATCTAGTACCCATTAAAATTCAGTGGGAATTCACTACCTCAGTCCCATACATTCTTGAACTTGCGGCCTTCAAGAATGTTTCCATGGTATTATTACTCTGATATTGATAGTGTTTGGCTAACTCAGAATGCAAGCAATTTTAGTTTACCTATGTATATATACTTTTAAGTTATAGACTATGTAGAGTTCATATCCTCCTTATTTGTTCCCTTAACACAAGGGTGAGATGATTGTGTATTACCTGTTATTTAGGTGGCACCTACTTTACTCTTTTTTTGTTTTCTAATTGTAGAATGCAGTCCAGTTAAGGGAAATTAATCTGACCTTCCCAAAGTCAAATACAGATAGTTAATACTATATGTTATACCTCCAAAGTACAGCACTTTCTAGCCTGGCCAGACCACACATGCTCCTGGACCAGAGATCCCTGCAGCAGTTTCCAGCAGTGCGGGACTAAGGCTGGAGCCCCATGACAGCACAGTGCCAGAGTCCCCACGGCAACCCCCAAGAGTCCAGTGCTGGGGTTGGAGCCCTGCGGTATCCCCCTGCTGGTGGGGCTGGAACCCCAATCCCGTGGTTGTCCCCCGGCTGTGTGGAGCCAGAGCCCCAGCCCTTTAGCTGCTCCAGGCTGTGCAGGACCGGAGCCCTCCAGCAGGAGCTTGTGCTGCCCAGGGAGACAGCAGTAGCTGGACAAGCAGCCCACCCAGGTTGGGAGGGGATAGGGTAGGGTGAGGCAGGGTTGACTGCTGGGGCAGCCTGCTAGCAGTAGGTGATGAGCTTGGGGACCAGTGTCAGGAAACCTCCCTTAGCCCAGCAAATTTTCTCATTCGGGCCCGGTCAGGTCCCCAAGATGCCAGACCAGGGAAGTTTAACCTTAGATACAAAATCAGGATGAAATGAGCTAAGCTAAACCTCGTGATAAGGTGTGAAGGCAGGTATCTTTTAATCTGCAGGGGCTGAGGGCTATACTCAGCACTTGTGTAAGTGGTCATAACACTTTTTGAAGCCTTCAAATACTGAGTGCATTTTTGTTGGTGTTAGTAACAGTATAGGGATTAGGACACTGAGGTGCCCTCTTGTGATCTCCCCTCATTTCATGCAGTGAGCTTGTCTGGACTGCAGTAATTTGATTCCGCCTTCTCTGTTTTATCATATTTGTGTGTACACATCAGCTCAAGTCAAATTATCTCTCCTAACTGCTTTTGTTCTCACAGATTTCAACGGTTCATGCATAGGTCAGACAATAAGAATATGAAATCAATATTATTTTTGTGTGACTTAATATATCCTTTTCAATTGCCCCAGCAGGGGAAACCCTGGTGACCGCCCTGGCCAGGAAACCCCTGGTAGCAGTGTGGCTGGTGGTGGCAGTGAGGTCCTGGCTGGAGAAATCCTGGAACCCCTGGCAGCAGAGCAGGGAGCCCCAGTCTTGAGGAGAAGAGCTGGCAGTGGGGCAGCTAGCAGGGGAGCATTGACTGCCCCTTGTCTGGCAAACTCCCTTGTCAGGACGGCTCCAGTCCTGAGGGTGTCGGACCAGGGAGGTCCAACCTGTAATCCTTTTCATACAGAATTATTCTTTGTTGGAAATTAAGGAAGGCACTGCAGATAAAAACCTGTAATTATAGCTATTTAAGTAGTCTCTTAAAATTTGCAAAGAGGCTGCATATCTGCTTATTATCATGTGGAAAGTGTTATCATAGGGCAGTGGTTCTCAACTGTTGGGCTCGGGACTGCAGTCCTCTCAGTCTGGGCCGTTGGGCATGTCCTGCCCGTCCTCTCAGCCAGTCAGCACCAGGCATGGTCAGGGTCTCTTCCTGGACAAGGATGAGCGCTTTGCTGTGTGAAGGGGGAGCCTAGGCAAGCCCAGCACGGCAGCTGATGCAGCACAAGGCTAGGGGAGGGGGCTCTGGCTCAACTGTTGGGCTCGGGACTGCAGTCCTCTCAGTCTGGGCCGTTGGGCATGTCCTGCCCGTCCTCTCAGCCAGTCAGCACCAGGCATGGTCAGGGTCTCTTCCTGGACAAGGATGAGCGCTTTGCTGTGTGAAGGGGGAGCCTAGGCAAGCCCAGCACGGCAGCTG